TCATGATTTTTGCACAAATTTAACAAAAACTGCGCCACTTCTGCACACATGCACAAGTTAGCAACTGATTTGGCGATAAGCAGCCTTATTGTTATTGTTGTCTGCACACACACACACACACAATATACACATTAAGGCAGGCTCACAGTTTGATTGACACGCTGTCTTGCCGCGACAACCATCTGAAACGATTGATTTTCGCGTACTAAATTGCGAGCGTGAGCGCTGGAGCATGCGACCAAACGAGCGCTCACATTATCAGCACAGCTTTGCACTCTCTCTCTCTCTCTCTCTTTCTCTTTTGCGCGTTCATTGTTATCAAGTTTTATTATTGTTAGAGTGACCAACTTTGGGAAGTGCTTGCATTGAGTAGCATGCGGCTGGTCCAACGAAGCTTTGAAACCAGTTTCTGACGCAGGTGTGTGTGACTTTGCTACTGGGAGCCAGGGTATATATACATACATACATACGTATGGTATATAATAAGGAAGCTTCTAATTGGCCCGTTTAGGCCTTTCTATGTTTGTTTTTGTTTATCATTTCAATGCAACACACATTTTCACGTGTTTAATTTGTATCGATATAATACAGGTGTATATATGTGTGCACAGGTCCAATGGTACATATTTTTGTTGTGCAGGCTCTATATTTCAGTGTAAGCAAACAAAATTGATACGTCTAATTACTAACAAAATATCCCGAGCGTACATGACCTTGGTCAATAACTATTTTGTTAATTTCTAAAGGCAATTTAACATGTTTAATAACCTACCTTCTGCGCAAATTATCGGTTTGATCCAACGATAGGTTCGGACTGCTTCCATGATGTCTCCGTCTGCTGTAGTGCAATTGTTGTAGCTGCCTCTGCTGCTGCCTGGAGGCGGCGACATTGACCAAATCATCACGACTTTTGCTTAAACTGTCGCTAAATGGCTGCATTGTTCGTTAATTTCTGTTTTGAGTTACACTTCTTATTGTCCTACGACATGCTGGTTAGGTAGGCTGTGAAGGCAACGGGAGCACGAATTTAACGGTAAATCAGTAAGTGCAAAGTACATGTGTACAGCTTGGACACACACGCACACTTGTAAGCAATTTTATCAATGAAACAACACAAAATCAATAACTTAGCCGAACGACGTCAAACGCCCACTCACAGGATGCGCGCATATGTGTGTGTGTGTTGGTGCACTAAGGGGGGGGGGGGGCATATTCAGCGGCATTGGCGTCAGCCCCCTCACGACAAACTCAGCAGTTAAATCAAAAAGCAAAAAAAACGGCAAATATTACAACAAAGGTTGGAGACGGCGTCGACGACCGACCCACGCAAACGTCAACGCAAGCAGAGCGAAAGATAGATAGAGAGACGAGGAGTGAGAGTAAAGCTTTAAGCCACCGCGGAAGCGCGTGATAAAATATAAGAAGAAGAAGGCTTAGCGGTGCCTAACAAATAAATTTCAAGTGCAGACACTTGTCACATAATTATACACAAATATACAATGCATTTTACATAAAAAAAATAAAGAACAGTTATTCACATTTCACTTTCAAATGCAGCGCTGCTATTTTGTATGCCTTTAAATGGCAAATTGCACAAAAGAACAAACACACACACACACGCGCGCACATAAATACATGTGCTCATGTATATTTGTATTCCACTTCTTCTGCTTCGCCTTTTGTTTTTTTTGCTTTTTTTGCTTTTTGGTGCCGTGCTTTTGACTTGGCTAGAACATAACAACAATAAGCAGCTACAACGAAATTTTGCTACACACACCAACGCAACGCACACACATACATATATGTATACACACATACACGCACGCACGGTCTCTCACACTCGATTGGAAACCTTACAGCGCAGCTTATACTTTTGTGCTGTTGCTGCTGCTTCTTCTTCGTACGTTGCTTCGGTTGAAGAAAATCAATAAATTTTTATTTGCACTTTCCACTGCAGTTTTGCACATTTTTCAATAAGTTTTGCATTTGGATTTTATTTCAATTGCATTCACTCACATTTTTTTGGTTATTTTGTGACAATTTTCAGTAATTTTAAACACAAATTGTACAAATACAAAGACTGGTTGGCCTTTGGTTGCGCTTTAGATAACGTTCCGACCAACCAACCGTCCGCACCAAAGGTAGATACAAATCAACTAACAAAAAAAAAAAAACTGGCGCACGCTCAGCCTGCCTGGTCGAGAGAAGCAGAAGTTGGTATGTACCAACAGCCATAAGCTGCTCAAGCGGGCCAATTTCCTCCCTCAAAACCAGTTTGGAGCGCAGGTTGAACTGCGCATGTGCCAGCTCAACTGTGTGTGTGCGAGAGAGAGAGAGAGAGAGAGGAGCGCAACTGAGACACTGAGAGCCATGCCATGGCCAGTGAGCGTCGGCGGCAATAACCACCAACACTTGCAAGCCGCTGTTGCTGTTGTTGCTTTATGCTCAAGTTTCTGACCAACGTTAAAGCCGAAGCATACACGATCACGAAGCACTGTTAAAGCTCTTTTAATAGCTGTTTCAAAAGCTTCAAGCGGCAGCTTTCGTCATCCTTGCATACAAAACGCATTTGTAACAGTTATTAAACACAAAATTTAAATTCTCTTGCTCCTTTAATTTGATTTTCATAGTTAAAAGTTTCACTGTTAAGTTGCAATATTTAAACTTTCAGTACATACATATGTTAACATATACATGAACATCATAAAAGCATGTTAAATTCCCATTTCTGTTATCATTTGATTATCTCTCTATTGAAGAGCTATAACGAAATGTAAATTTAAATCAGCTGCCTGATAAGAGGCGGCAACAAGTTGTTATACAAGAGCTGTTGACGTTTACCTATTTCGTGATATTTGCAGAACAGGTAAAAAGTACGGACAAAAATGCAGCAGGTAGCATAATTTCTATGTAAACAACGATGACTCATGCAGACTCAACACCCAAAGAACTCTCCAAGACCCGAATCCGAACATATTTATGTGACAGCCATGACGATCGCTGCTCAGTTGTTCCATCTCTTTCGCACTGCTCCGATCTTTCCCTCTTACATTGTTAGAGCTGTATTGCCCCCTTTTTTAAGCCTGTTGCTTGTGGCCCGTTTCTTGTTTGTTCACTAACAACAACAACAACAACAACAGCGACAGGAGGTCCAGTAAATTAATATGCTGCATGCGTGCGTTTTCCTTTGGTCCATTGCGCATGACTCAATAGCCAAGCATTTGTAGACGGCCAGGGTCCGATGCCGATGCCAGGTTCCCGCACCATTCGCAAACAAAGAAAACCATAAAGAAAAGGATTTCATTTGAAGTCGAGTACAGGTAGCCAAGGGAACGATTAGTTCTTCAGAAGAATAGTTGCCTTTTGTGTGATAACTTGTTGCTGGGCTTATAATATATGCATTAGATATTTAATAATATATATAATTAGTTAGTTTTGTAGTACTCGACTTTAGTTGAATGAGAATGTTTATTGGCAACCTAAATACAGTAATATTCAAGAATCTTATATATAATAAATCAACATGTCTTACATAGAGCATCTTCTTTCTCAAAGTCTAGGTATAGCTACATAGATCTAATAACATGCGCCGTAAATGGAGCATTATGAATTTGAATTCAGATTTAAATATCAATGAGATATGTAAATGATCAAAAATAATGAGTTACTGAACTGAAATGTGACGTGCTGTTAATGTTTAATTAACTTTGCTGCTAGTGTTAATAATTAACAGCACCATTATCTTGACTTAACACTGTTAGTGTTTGCGCTTGGCACAGTTTTGTATAAATTTGCTGATGCTTTAATCTGTTTAAGCAAAAAGTTATATATAGATTTCGATAAGTACATGATCTCTCTGCCACCATTAGCATAATATGAAATAATGTAATTGATAAAGTCTCATAAAGTTCTTAAGGTTATCAGAGGATTGAAATTACAACGCAACGCGAGGCAGTCAAATGTAAGGAAAAGATAGTTAGGTAGAGAGATAGAGATCGACTTCACTCTGATAAGAAAGGCATCGAAAATGAACTTAACATAGTTTTCTTATCAAGTTGTATATTAATATGATGACGAATAAGCTCTTTAATGAGAAACATGTAATATGTTTGGATTTTGTTTGTTTTTTTGTTGTATATTTTACCGGAAGGAATGGGGAGCTCTTACGCATGAACTCAGCAGAGCTTTAGGAATATCGTTGATATTAGGGTAGCTACGAATAGGCATTTCACAGTTAGAAGTAATGGCGGGGTACAAATCGAATCTATAAAACAGTAGTCACAAAATATACATACATATATATTAATATAGGCATTTATAAAGTGCATTCCGATTAGGCACAATTGAGCTGCATAAAAGGACCATTAAATGAAAAAAAAATAATAATAATAACAAATACAGCTAACGATCTTGTATGAACTCAATTGCGACTGAACGTAATGCTTATAATAACTTATTTTATAATTATAATTAAACTGTTCACAGAAATGTTTTTGTTTTAACGCACTTAACGGCGACTTATATTAATATAAACACGGGGGCCACATCTAACTTTAATAACTCAAGGATTCCTCAAGGTGTCTCAGCTTGTGAAGCTACCCAGATCAGCTATAAACCGAATTGAGTATGAGTTGAGAAAGTATCCTCTCAAGCTTGTCCATTTAGCTCTGTACAGGTAGTCGCCCATCTAAAACCCAATCGAATTTATGTATTGTCCATCTCACACTACGCTTTCTTGGTGGTTGCTTAATTGGCTCGGTTGCGGGGGATTTTATAGAATATTTTCGTTTAATTATGAGTATTTATATACATATAAATACATATATACTATATACTGTGTTCAGAGAGGATATATTCTTATCGAATATTCCCCCCTATGAGATTGAGTAGCATTTTCATAAAAATCCTACGGATTAAAGTTTATTTGTTTACAACAAACTCAAATAATAAATGATATCTGTCTTTAAAGAAAACTTAAGATTCAATGCTTTCTGAAAACGTTTTTTTTTTTTGCCAGTTTGGGGAACTAGTTCTTTTAATTTTCGGGGATTTTCTAGGAGCTTTGGCTTTATAGACCCCGTTGATATTACAGCTTCCGAATCACATCTTGCCTAACAAGTATGGTATGTACAATTAATAGTTGCTCAGGTTCAGATTGATAAGGAATTTCGTATATGCACTATGTGTAGGTTGTTACCCTGTAGGCCTCTCCTCCTCTTACACTCTTTCGTTCTTCTCCTTATTTTTGCTCACGCATAGAGCCCTATAATGATGATCTCAGGTACGCGCCTTCGCATTTCTCTAGTTAACATTCTGAAATGTTGACATTTCTAAAGGAACTTCGTTCGCGTTTCGAACATTTAGCCTAAGCTAAACGGTACATTAATTATGTTGCGGAATTGGGATTAGAAATGGGAAACCTAATGGCCCACATTGTGTTCATCATGTGATTCGCTCGCCTCAAATTGCTCAGCCACCGCGCCACCATCATGCTCATGATCATGATCATCATTGTCGCCATTCTCATCTTCATCACTGGAGTCGACAAAGTTGCACAGGGTGAGCGCCTGGAAATCGTTCAAGGCCTGCTCGAAGAGATCTATGGTATGTTGATTGGTCTCAATGACCTGTTGTGTGGTGTCCAGCAAATCCTCAGTGGCGCTGAGCATGAGATCCTGTATGGAATTCGAGTGCGAGGAGGCAAGCGAACGGGCAGCAGCAATAGCACCCATACCCGTACTAGTACCCTGCGTCTGCGGTTCTGCACCTGTTGTGTTGGATGTTTGTGGATTGGAGTAGGTTTGCTCACCGCTCAGATCATTGGCGCTGTCACTGATGTTGCTGGCGGCCAGGCCACGGGTCAGCTCATCCGCATGCGCCAGCGTGGAGCCAATTATGTCGCTGGCAATACGAATGGCCGCATCCCGGGCCGCAATAGTCGATATAAATGTGGCTGGGCCAACCGTGGCGGCGGCCGTTGGCGTTGGATTGCTGGGACGACTGAACACCGTGTCGCTGGTCACCTGGTTGCCCTCGATGCGCAGTCCAGCCACGCCCTTTTTCGGTATGGTAGCCAGATCACGCTTGACGCGACGACAGCGCGACGGTTCGTTTTGACGCTGCTGCACCAGCTGCTCCAGATCCACAATGTAGACATAGCCAGCGACGAGTATGCTGCAGGATTTGTCGCCCTTCTTGAAGGCCTCCTCAATGTCCTGGCTGGTGCGATCGTCGTATTGCCACCAACCTGTGCAGTAAGTATTTTAAATGGGGATTCGCTTGTCGCTTGATCACATTTACGGATTTCATATTTGTTTTGGGAGCATGATTATGATGGATTGCATTGGGGACTGGGATAATGTTTGTAACGGATGGTTGGGTTAATGAGAGTACTGTGATTAGTTGTGTTTCAGTCCGGCCACGCCCTTTACACCTGGCGCCGGCTCAGATGTCTTGCGCCTCATTATATTGCGCTTTCTGGTGGGCTCCGAGCGCAACGTTTGCGTCATGCAGATCAGGTCTATGATATACAGCTGGCCGCAGATGAGCTGCTTTAAGCGGCTTGGTTCGTCTGGACTACTTCCGTACTGCATATCATAGTCGGAGCTGCTGTCTGTGGAGCAATCCTCAACATCATTTACAAATCCTTCGAAATCATCATCAAAGAACTCGTCCAGCTCCCCGTCAGCATCAAAGCCGCCGGTCCAGTTCGTATGACGACTGCATTCGGGCACTGGTGCAGCTGCGGGTACTGCAGGCGGAGGAGCTTTTGTTGCGGGCACTGCGGCTACATTGATTTTGTATGCCTGGTACGCCTGGTAGGACATCTCAATGTCTTCGTTGGTGCGCGCATCGTAGGCCCACCAGCCGCCTAGGGTTTGTGTGGGGTTTTTGTTTTGATTTGGTTTATGGCCAAGGGCATGGGTTACATGGAGGTGCAGCTACGGACGCCACCACCAAAAAATTATAATATGCACTTACCATTGCGACCCTCGTAATACCATTGATAGCCATCCTCGGTGGCGCGTGTGGCACAAATATCATCGATGCCATTTACCAGTTGCGGATGATCCAGAAATTCGGCGGGAATCTCACGGCGGCACATGGCGCAGCGCCGATTTTTGTAGGCAACACCCTAAAAAGGTAAAAAAACTGGTTAATAAGATAAACAAAATTGTAAATATTAAGTAGCGTTTAGATAATAGCTTTAGTTCTAGAGGCGGCTGTCGAAAGTATGCAGCATTTTTTTTATATTTTACATTATTAGTATAAAAGTTAAATGATATTGTATTTAATAAAAAGTTATGATGCTGGAAATGCCCATATAATCCACATTTAATGAACGTATTTGTGTTTTATATACCTTTCGCTTTTGATGTCATATACGCTTATCAAATTAAAAAGTTATCCTAGCTTGAATAATTTAAGCTTGAAAACCTGGTTACATTCTGATGTATGCGCAACACATACTGGATATGCCGCCTACAGTAGCCGATAAGGCCAACGACTTTCAATCAATTCGATATTGCTATGCGGAAGGTAATTAAATTAAATTATTCAAGCTAGCGCGCGCCCAACGATATTTGGGCAGACACAAGGGTTAACAGCGGCGCAGCCTTGAACTTGCTGCGTGCGTGCGTGCGTTGCGTTGGGCGCACGCGTTTCGAGAGCTTTGACCAAAAATTTCGATGGAATGTGACTTGCATACGCAAATGTTTCCGGCTTGGCGGGGTCTGTGGTTGAAAGGGGGGCGCTACATACCTTGACGCATAAGAAGCAAAAGATGTGACCGCACGGCAGGCGTGCGGGATGAATGCAGGTTTGCAGACAGATGGGGCACTCCAAGGTGGCGGTGGGAGCGGCTGCGTCGGCGCCAGATGTTACACTACAAGCAGCCAATGCGGCGCCTACAAAATAAAGTTTACATTGCAAAATGAAACGTAATTGCATGCATTTTTTCGTATTATGTGTTACCCGCATCAGAGTTGACAGTTTTGAGTGATTCACCTGGTGGAGTCGATTTTGCAGCAGCGCCAGCACCAGCACCAGCAGCAGCAGCCGCAGCCGCTGCTGCCGAGGTGGATGGTGACACGCAAAGATCGATTGTTGGTATGCTTGGACGCACAGTGGCCACAAATTGCGCATCGTCGTCCTCATCGTCGCTGTCGTCTAGATTGATGATGGTGTTGTTGGCGTTGGTTGCATTTTGCTCCGCATTGTTGCTGGCGCCATCGCTGCTGCTTGTTGCTCGCCGTTTCGACATTATTTTTCTTCGCGATTTGCACACTCACTGAACCTGGCGTTTGCACAACGCATCAGAAAATAAAGTTGTTTCTTTTTTGCTGCTCTCCACTTCTTGACACACACGCGCAGCTGTGGGCACCCAAAAACTCGTTAACATTTGCTGTAAGTTATTAACAGCGCGGAATCTGTTAATTCTGCAACACTGCCAACCCAAAATCAGCTGCTACCTATCGATTATTTCCAGATTGTAGTTGGTCGCAGAGGAATTCGTAATTCCAACGGCTTGGATTATTTGAATATTTAAATATTTTACTACTGCAATTGGGTATGTTGATTTTAAAATTATTCTCATCGATAGTTCGATAGATTTGTATACATACGATATTTCATATGATGTGCTGACACTTGTTAAGTTAAGCATGATTTTATTTGACATAAGAAGCAATTCATATAAATCAAACCTTATTTTAAAATTGTATTTGCCTATTAACTTGGCGGATTAAAAAACAAAATTAATTGGGAATGTTGCTTGTGTGCCTAAGCTATCGCAGAATTTAAGCGATTAATATTATTTAGTGCTGAACAATGCGAAAAGTCGAGTGTGTTGGGCTTGGCGCACTTTTCAAATTTGATAGTCATTTCACAATGGGGAGAGCTTTATTTATTTGTTTGTTAATTACAGTTTGTGGTGTTTTTATGCATTGAATTTTTTTTCCAATTTACCTGCAGCACATCAAATTCAACCAAAAGCCAATTAAAATTATGCGCTTCATTACATGCTACACCTTTTTACATACAATGCCCAGCTCGCAATCTGCCTCCCCCACATGCAGGGAATTTTAACTTCATAAAAATTGACAGCCCTTATAGTCGGCAACAATAATAATAATAAAAAAAAAACCATCAGCGTTCGTCACATGGCATCACGCACATTTTAATATGCAGCCAGCATGCTGCAAAAAAAAGGACCGAAAAAAAGGAGCTGAGTTACACTACAGGACATTCAGACGCAGCCCTTTTGAACTCATTACATGAAAATCAATTTTTGGTTTATTTTTGCCGCATGGGCGACTGTTCTCCACAATTGCATGTCATTTTTTGTCAATTACACACACACACACACGCACAGACATACGCTGGAACATACACGGTCAATTGCCTAATTGCGCGGCTCCCGGGCAGGCAAACGCGTCGAACTCAACTGGCGACTGTCGACGAGTTTTGTAAATTACTCCACACATGTTGTTGTTTGAGCCCTTTGGGCTGTTTAATGCACGTGCCTCACTAGCTGTTGCCATTTAAAAATGTGCTCCAAAAAGAGAAGTTAACCGTTACGTGCTCTGATTTGTCTCTGATTTTCAAAAACAAAAAAAACTGTTTAATATGCAGCGCAAGTTCTCCAACTCAAGCGACATACCCACTCACCGGTTGTGCCATTTCTTTTTTTTTAATTGTTCCACAAGTTCTGGCAATTGAATTTTCAAACGAGTAAAGCATATAATGCTAAGCGTATTTGTGGTCAGCCACAAGGACCGAAAACCATAAAAATAACTAAGCTCAATCTTAATGTAATTATCACAAAAAACGTTTATGGCCGCATTCGCCTCAAGATTATTAACACACAAAAAGGGGGCGCCATCAAGTCATAAGCATAAAAATATTACAACTCACACAACAACACTTTTTACCCCAAAACAAAAAAAGAAAAATATATATAAAAAAGAAAATCATCCTTGTCCTTGTCGCCGCCTTTGTCTACTTTTTGCACCCTCTTCGCGGCGGCTTGTAATAAGCTACTTTTGCATTGCTCTTTATTTTATCATTTGACTTTCACCCACCCAACCACATTTTATTATGTTTTTTTTTTTTTCTTTTTGGCTGTTCTGCAAATCCCTTTAATCAAAGAAAATTGGCTGTTCACACATGTGAGCCTTGGGCTTATTATGGAACGTTTTAAGCGCGCCAAGCTAAGCTCTAACAAATTTACGAGCATTTAGGCAAATAATAAAAAATTTGCACAATTTCCTATTAAAATGTTGATTTTATACGTTGACAATAGCTTTTCTTATGTTTAAAGATCTTAAATTAGAGGATGGTTATAAAAATAACCGGTTCGAACCTGAGCTTCAAATTTATTTTAAGCCAAGGCAAATGAAGCCCGAACCATACTTTTTCAAAACATGATTTGATTAAAGAAAGAATTTAGCCCGCAAGTTCTTTATGAAAATATCTATGGCTTGAAATATTTTCAGGAGAAACGGGCAATTATAAATAACAAATCGAATTGTTGCATTAAAGCATTAAATTAAGAAAAAATATATAAAAAATTAACTTTTGAATCAAGCTCTCGAACATAAAGATCTATAGAAATGCGATTATGTTTGCTTATTGGTACATACATGTATGCATGTTTGTTTTGTGTATGTAAATGCATACATGCATGCTTACATGTATGCATACATGTTCAGATACCTACATACATGCACACATACATACACATATATGTACTTACACAAATGGTTACAAACATATATATCCACAAACATACGTACATACTTGCATGCATGCATACATGCATACATGCATACATACATGCATGCGTTCATACATATGCACAAGCAGGCATGCACACATAAGTACCTACATATATATGTACACAGTTACATAAGCATTAGCACAGACCTATAAATATACAAACAAAAAAAAAAAAAAACAAACAAAATAATAATAATAAAAAACTAGTTTAAACAAAAAAAACAACTACACCACTAGCTTAGCATGAAAAACTGCAGAGCACTTGGTAGAAGTTCGTTTCATTTAAATTTGCAGCGCAGCGACAAAGCTTGGTCTGCGTTTAGTATTAGAAAACAAACATGCATGCATACATATATACCAGAATGCATACATACATGCAGGCATAAACTAGCTCACACACACAAACACACACATATATAATAGTTATATGCTTATATACTTTATATTATATTATTTTATTTATTCCATCATAAATAGTTATTTTTGTCAACTTTAAAAGATCTACCATAATTTTCCCCTTTAAGTTTAAGCTCTGTTAATGCGGCTGCCTCTTTAGTTGGAAAATTATGTGCTGTTTACAAAAAATTCAGCGACAATTTCAACGTAATCTAAGTCATTTCAATTTGCCAGTCTGTCTGTTGCTTCAAGCAAAAATCTCTCTGACAAACCGTCTCAGCATCAACTCTCAGCTACCCATTCCAATTTAAAATGCCCCTCTATTATCAGACCCGGCCCTCGCCCCTGCCACCTGACATGCTGTCCCCCCTTGAGGCTGGGTGTGTTGTTTATCCTCAGGCCTCAGCTGCTTGTCACTTGCATATTGATTTTAAGGATTTACATCAGGCCAGCATAAAGTCAAGCAGGGCAGGCACAACAGGTGACAGATAGCGCAACGCCAATAAGTAGGCTACGGTGCGTATACCCTGTAGCCAACCATAGCAAAGGGAGTTGTATGAGAAAATATGTGCGAAAAGATAATATCTATATCAAATCTAACAAAAGTTTATAAACTTTTATTTTACTTATTTATTTAATATTTAAGGGGTCTGTCGACAAGTAGATACCCTGCATCAGTTGATGCTGTGTATAAATAAATATACTTTATTGAGTCAGGTTTCTTATGACAAATAAAGTTAACCGGCAAAAGAGTTGAGCGCTGCTCCAAACTAACATTTCTATCTAAATTTTCATAAATAGTACAGAGTATTTCATAGTTCAGCAGTTGGGCGATTTGACAAAGTTCCACCCCAATTGCTTGGGCTGTCAACAAAGGTAGAAAAGGCGCCTTTGGGAAAACGTTTCGATTTGTGATTTTTATCGCGTTGTATTTGATTTTTATTATTGTTGCAATTTGTTGACAGCAATTGAAAAGCAATTGAAAGCGATATGCCAAATAACTGCTGCTTGGCCCAAGCGGTTGGAGCAGAGGAGCAATGCCTGCACTCCGTCCAGCTAATTAAAAGTTCGGCCATTAGAAAACAGTCTGTGAACAGCAACCATATCTGCAGGGTCATAAAAACACGTGATAAGCAGATCTGAGGCGTAGCAGGAGGGCGCGGGTCAACTAAATCAAAGCTGCCCAGTTCAAGTGTTGGGCGAAGTCTTACAAGCTACTTTGCATGTGAATGGAAAGTGGCAGACCGAAGCTTATCGCAGCAAGGATAAAAAAAGGACACTGCCTGCCGTTTTTTTGTTGTTGTGTGTGTGTGTGGGCGGGTGGTGTCAAAAACCACACGCCGCTTGGCTGCCCTTTGTGCCGGCTTGTCCTTTGCCTTTTGTCCATAATCTTTGGCATTTTATCGCCGCCCATCTGTTGATGTCTTTATTAAAAAAAAAAAAGTACGCCAAGAAAGTGGCACAATAACGAGGGCAGCAAAAAAAAAAAATGCAATTTTTAGCCCATTTTTTGTGGGTTTTATTGCCAGACAGGACACAGCAGCGCAGCACATCTTAAGCATTTTATTAGCAGCAAACTCTTGAACTTGAAGTTGTCTAGTTGTTGTCCTCAGCGGGCGCTTCACATAATTAAATAAAGCGTTAAAATTAAAAATAAAGATTTTTCCACAGCGATTTTGCAAAAGGTTTTTCTATACTTTCTCACTGTTTTTTTCTTCGTTAGGCGGAAATATGTTTGTCTGGAGCGCGCACATCCTTAAGATAAGCGTTACAATGGGGCAACATTTTTGCAGTGCCTGCTCGGGCGACCCGACGAGAAACATCCCTGCTCCGTTCCAGTGTTAATTCGTTTTTTATGTGTTTGCGCCTTATTCTTTTAAAGTGGCAAGTCGACAGATAAGACGAAAATGTTGCGACATTTTCCGCCTTGTAATTGTCCTGCAGGATGCGCGTTGTCCAAGTTTATTGCCTAACGACCGCGGCACGTTCCCATCCAGTGCGGTCTTTTTATATTTTAATTAAAAAATCAAGAATGCCAACGTTAATGTTGACACAGTCACAGGCATGCAAGAGTGTACGGCGGTTGGGTGGCAGGCTGGCAGACAGAGTAGGGCAGAGTGAAGGACTGGGTGCGCCGAAAATTTAGAAAATCTTGGCCAAGCAGCTCAGTTATTAGAGTTATAAAATTAAAAATGATTTTGAGAGACTCATTGACACATTTCTGGAAATTGATGGCACATAAAGTGTTTAGCATAAGTATAAAAAGCCTAAAGTATGATAATACCTTCAAAATATTAGAGTAACTTATAAACTCAAAATAATTATTATGTATAAATAAATATGTATATTATATTATATTATTACTTACCCGAATACATATATGCCCTCGAATTAATGCCCCATATATG